GGCGAAACAGCTGCGCCGTACACACACAACAATAAAAGACACATGTACGCTGGACTCAGTCAAATGGTGTGCGAAAGAACTGTCGAATCGTCAAAAACATCGATACAAAAATAACATGAGAAACAAAAAATGAAACTGTGAGCACTGCACCTGCTGAGCCCGTGTCTGAAGAAATACTCAAAAAAGTGCAATCCTCTACAACATCGATGATACAAATAAAACAAGAAACAAAAACAAACTGCACCCGTGCATGGAAATAGTATACAATAGTCTAACCACCTATACAAATACAAATGCAGTCATGACGACCTGCACAGACCACTCCTACGAACACAAGGCCTCGTCTCAAGCACTACAGACTACTCCTACTAACACAACGCCTCGTCTCAAGCACTAAATATACTGTACACTACTACGGATCAGAGGATGAAAGAAGACTAATGGTGGAACTATGCATCATCGTCGTCCACAATGTCCTTTCTCCTCCTCTGCGGCACCACACCTGTCACACCATCCCCACAATCTGTGCCGCCTGCCGGCGCGTGCATAGTATCCGGAGCATGAACCTCCCCCTGTGGCGCCGCCTCAACCCCTCCGTGTGGTCGAAGAAGATCGTACACGGAAACCCTCCTCCGCTGGACATAAGGCATCTCCAAATCGTCTTTGCCAGACTCCCAAACGACTGGCGCCTGTGACGGTCGCTGCGCTGTCGCTGCCCTCACATCCTCCCGCAATATACGTGCAACCATGCTCCTCCCGGGGGCCACACTGTGCTCGGGGTGGTCGCCGGTGCCCGTTGTACGCCCTGCAGCATGTGGCAACGTCGCCTCAGCAGGTGCGCTCATGGGCTGATCCGTCGCTCGGTCGGAGACCCTCTCCTGCCATCCTGCTGCGTCTGCGCCACCGTCCCCGCTCAAAATCGCCCGTGTCCGCGGATGTAAACCGGCCAACCCAGGCTGACTCGCCCGCATCGTCTGCGTCACTCTCCTCGCGGTACTAAGATTTTTCCCTGCTCTCATCTTCTTCTTCCGTGACTGAGGAGAAGGAGACTTCCCGGCGGGTGTCGGCGAGGGGCCCCGTACCGCCTCTGCCGCGACTGTGCCCTCCACATATGCGGGTGTGCTGACACCTGTGGTGGATGATGGCACTGACGGGCTGCAAGGCACGTAAGCCGGGGCCTTTGCCATCAGTCTCCTCAACGCCTCGGTCATCCGCCCCCGGCGATCTGCCTGCAACGGGTCCTCCCATGCCTGCCGCTCCAACTCCCCCGCCGACATGGCCCCACCGAGAGGCAATACGCAAACACCCTGCAGGTCTCTCGCCCGCATCCCCTATGCCCGCAGCGCCGCACTCGCCCTCTGCATCACCTGCCTCAACGCCTGTCTCGAGCATCCGCGCTACACGTGCCCTCAATGCAACACTCTGCGTCATCTCGCAGCGGCCAGCCAACCCCTGCGCCCTCCTCCTCTCCTCGCGGTCGATCATGTCCTGCTCTAACTCTGTCACCCGCTCCTGCACATGTCGACACTCCCCATCATCCCCAGTTGCACGCTCGTGCTGCCCCGACCGACCCGGTGCCCCGTCTGCTGCCTCTTGCAACATGCTACTACTGATGTCGCCCGTGCTGCATGAAGGTATGTCACGAAGTATCTGACTGACGGGTGTGGCCGCTGCGTCCACATCGACACCGACACGCTCCCCTGCCAGTGTCGGAGGATGCCCTAACGAAACATCAAAAATGTTGTCGCTGAAACTGACACCCACCTGTGCAGATGGCCTCCCAACCTCTCCCGCATCGCCACTACCACCCACAAACCCGCCTGGACCCTCCACAGATGCCACTGCGCCCTCTGCAGACGGCACAACGAACTCTCCAGGGGAGGGAGCAACCTCCATAGGGGAGGGAGCAACCACAGCTGCCTCAGCGGGCCTCTCCTCATTAACCCAATGCACAGTGCGAGTGGACGACTCTCGCCTTACTTTTCCTGTGCCAGCACRCCCTGCACCACCTGTGCRCCCTGCACCCCCAACACCCTGCCCACTGCCTCCCCTGCCTGCACCACTGCATCAGTCGCCACGCTGTCTCTCGGACTTCCGCAAACCACCCACAACCCGTCCACCGTCGCTGCCCTCGTCGTCGTCGTCGTCACCATGTCTGTCCTCACTGCTGCCCTCATATCCCTCCCTATCGTCGCCATCGTCGTCGTCTTCCTCGTCGACACGCTCGCGAGTCCCTCCCTGTCCGCGACGATCGGTTGAAGGGTGTGGCGTACAGCTCTCGACACGGTCCGTCGGACCTGGCTCTAAGACGTCTGAAGCACTCGAAGGAGGGCGTGCTGCGGGAGACGGAACAGCGGCCGCCATAGACGCACGTGTGCGAGGACGCGGAATCTGGATCAAAGGAGTGTCGTCTTCATCGTCATAAGAACCTCCTGGCTTTGACTCCACGGCCAGGTCGTCCGGATCGGACCACGGCTCGTCCTCCATCGCGTCCTGAGCCATGGGATCAGGCTCGGGATCGTACACCGACTCCAACTCATGCGCCATGAGCACCGTGGCGCGACGACCAAAATACGTCGCGACGCTGGGAGGTGCCTTTGAAAGGCGATCCTTCCTCCCGCGCTGGACCTGCTGGTCGCGCTGTGCCTCGGTGACTCGGTCAACCGACCGAACACCCACATAACGAGGCGGAGGAATAGCGTCCTCTGTCTCCTCCTCAGCGTCCTCCCATGGAAGAACGTACCCATAACCCCTCCCCTGACAACGACTCAATCTCAAGTTGGTGGATATCTCCACCAAACGAGTCAGCTTGATGAAACCAAGCTGATTACGCCTCTTCACCTTTACACGCTCATGGGCGGCCCAATTCCTCTTTGCCGGAGAGGCGCACGTCCATGTGTGCGACAAGCGAATGGCGATGCTCTGAAGGAGAGGGACCCCGTCCCCGTGCTGAACCCACCACTGCCCCACCTATGATGTCTCCTTCTCCCCTTTGCAAGTGGCCGCATCCCTGTCTCCCTCGGCCCCTCCATACGTCCAATCGCCCTCCCGAGAATGAAACTCCGCCAGCTACGTGCGCAACGTCTGGTACAAATCCTCGTCACCACCAGTCTGCGGGCGAAGGTATCACAACGACTCGTTTGCCAGTATCCGCTCGTGGTCAGTACACCTCGCCGCTCCAAAAAGAGTTATGCTCCTCTGCCACGGATTGAGGAGGTGGGCCATGCAATGTGTGGGCTCCAACATATGAGCGACCCGCGCCTGACAAGCCTGAACAATGATGTGTAGCTCGTCCTTCGACGTCCTGTTAAGGCTTGCTCTCGCCACCTTGTCGACCATGACAAAACCCCACGACCACATGCGAGTCATCACGCGACCCCCCCTGTCCAAACGCCGTAGCAATTGCATCACAGGCATCATGAGCACCACGATGTCCTCCACGTGCTCCCARAATGGCGCGTACCGCACCTAATGACGCACCCATCTGGCCTGCAGAAAAATGAACCTCCTCCATGCAGTCCGCAGCCAATCGTCGCTCATCATCAACGCCTCCAACRCTCTGCGATGATCCAACAGCCTCTCCAGCATCAAGTAGTGGGTGGCAAACCTCGTCTGCACAGGGTACATAAGCTCCCTGCCTCGCCACTGAGACGAGGGTGGCGCAGAGCTCGAACCACCAGCCGCCGTGGAGGCAAAAGAGGGGTGGGCGGCACAAAACCGTCGATAAAGGCTCAAAGCCGCCCCGTGCTCTCTGATGAAACGCACGACAGCTCGAGCCCTGATGATGGTGTCCTCCCTCTTCCCGAGGCTCCCGTCGCGCCCATCCTCCGCGATGTCTGACAACAACAAGTTGCAGACATGGACCGCACACGGAAGCCAAGTGATGCGAGTGTACTTGACTTCCTCCTGGGCTAGGAGCTTGGACGCAGCAACATACGCAGACGCGGAATCAGTACAAATGGCGTTCACCTTGTCGACACCA